CAGTCTAGTGGAAAGAATCAGTGGTGAGGATAATCAGTAGTAAGGCATAAAGACTCGAACCCAGAGCCGCCTAAAAAACCTTAGTCTGAGCTTTTCCTATGATAGCGGGCTACATCCCATAAGAGTTTACTACCTAATCACACTCTTTACTGTGCAAGAAAAAAAAATCTAATAGTGCCTGCTTTATAAGCAGTAGAGTTCTTCTCCGACAGCTCAAAGGCAATGGCCCTTCGTCTGTCATCCTTACTCATTGTCTCCCTCTCAGACGCATAGCAAGTGATTGCAAAGACCATGGCTAATACTGAGAAGAATGGGAATCCCAGAGCACTTTACTGAGTGAGAAACCTATTTCTAGACCAGGAGGCTGTTATGTAAACAGAGCAAGGGAACACTGCATGGTTTCAAATTTGAAAGGGAACACATCAGGGTTTTTATTCTTTCTCCATACCTACTCAATCTGTATTTTATGAAAGAAATAAACTAAAAAAAGAACTATGTCTATTTAAAAAAGCAGTGATGAAACAGATGTATTTCTTCTATGTTTGTTTCTGGATTTTTATTCCTGCAAGAAAAAGCCTTCAATATTGATTGCATGAAAAAACCAAAAATTCTCACCACCGGACTAATAGGCATCATTGTGATAGATGGAGAAAAGATTGAAACTGTCAGCTACTTCATCTTACTTGAATCCACAATCAATACAGTTGGTACCAGTAGTAAGAAGATCAGCAGGTGTATTGCGCTGAGAAAGTCTGTAGTCAGGGACCTCTCCAAATTATTGAGGAGCAATGATGTCAGTTTTAGGACTCAGGTGCAACCGATTCAAGTCATGGTCTTTACAGTTACTTGCTACGCATCTGAGAACTGGATAATAAATAAGGATGATGGAGGAAGATTTGATAGCTTTGGACTGTGGTGTTGGAGAAGAGTACTGAATACCCCATGGATGGCCAAAAGAGCAAACAAATGTATCTTGGAAAAGGTGCAGCCGGAGTGCTCCTCGGAGACTAAGATGATGAAGCTTTTTCTCACATATTTTGGGCCTGCTGCTTGGAGAGGTTATTCCTTGCAAAGGGACATAATTAATGCTTGGAGAGGTGGAGGCATGGCATAGGAAAGGAAGACCCTCAACCAGGTGCTGTGTCACTGCAACAATGGATTCAGGTGTGTTAGAGACACAGCACCTCCAGCAATGGATTCAAGTGTGTTAGAGATTGTGAGACTGAAACAAAATAGGTCAGTGTTCAAAGTTGGTTTTCAGGGGGTTCCTATGGGTCACTTGAACTACCTAACAGTAACAACAACAACAGCTGGAAAATGAGAAAATGCAGGTTTTGCTTTTATTTAAAGTGTGCATTGATTTTTTTTCTCAATGACAGATCTCTAGGGAAGACCCACATCTCTGAATCCTGTGTGTAGAGGGACTTCTGAAAACCTGCTGGAAGGTCAGTTTGAGATTATTTGAGGGCACACTACAACAAGTGCAATGCTAAGCACATACCTGTCACTTGGTCAAAGCTGACAAAATCAGCTTTCTCTCGGTTCAAGCCACACCTGTAACATCATCCCTGTTGTTATGGTAAGCCCACCCCTACCTGACCCCCCGGTGGGTTTTCAGAGGCAATCAATCACATGGGAGGAGATTGCCCATCCTTCTCCTGTGTAATCAGCTGGTGAATTTGAACCACATGCCTTTGGGATTGCAGGGAAACTTCTCAACACTAAGTCACTAGGCCTCCAACATCATCCACTAGTAACTGAAAAATACCAGCCTTATCGTCATGATTTATTGATGTTTTAAAATGAGATAAAGTGATTCTTTGGTGGCATCGTAATGTGATGACTGCTCATCAGAACTGTCAACAGTGTGACTCCACTGGAGGCTCGAACCAGGGGAACGATGATACAGTCACTTCCCATAAAGATTTATATCCTCAGAAACCCAGTGGAGGGTCACCATGAGTTGGAATCCACTTGGCAGTATGTTTGGTTTGTTTTGATTAAGAAGATCCAGGCATCATTTAAGAATCATTGCCCAGACTACCTGGAGTCCAGAATGTGTGTTGTTGTTGTTTTTTAAATCAATGAAAGTTTAGAGAGACTTTGGATTTCCATTCATTCATTGCTGTACTTTTTTCTCTGCCCAGTCTCTCCCTCCACCCCAGTTTGCTCTTTTCTTTGAAAATTAAAAGAAAAATTCTTTCATTGTTATACAATCCCTCCCAGAATATATGTTTTTGAGCTTTGGGGAAGAAGGAACCATGAGAGAGGAGAAGGCACAGGGAGACTTCAGGTGATGAGTTCTGTTTCCGTGAGGACCTGGCAAAGCATCCTTCCTCACGTGTGGGGGAGTGGATAGCACTCAAGGTGAATGAACACAGAGAGGAGAAGGCTCAGAGGACGAGGAGTAATCATGTGATGGTGTCTTGCAGCCAAAGTGCAAACCCTCTGTGTCCTTGGGTGCCTTTCTGATTCAGGGTCTGTGTGACAACAGATAGACTGCTGTACAGCTCAGCCTAGTGCTTCCTGCTCAGCCCTCACACGCTTCCAATCAGGGGTCATTAGGAGTAATGGGAAGAGTGACACCGTGGGTTTGGGTGTGAAAGGA